TATTAGCAAATTACCTCAAGTCTCAAATGAAATGTACTATACAACTAACACTAAGTCATTATTGGCAAAATTTTCCTTTTATTTATACATTAACTTCCTGTAAACTTATCTGGGGGCGATAGCAAGATGTTTTACAAGACACTCAGTCCTGAAGGGTGCTGGTATATACACCAGGGAGCCTATAATAATTATTTTGTAAAGCAAATAATCAGATGGGGAAAAAACCTGGGCTGGAAGCCAAATTAGAATGTTATTTATTAATTAAATTTTCTCCAAAATAAGAAACAATCCTTATCTATCACTGATGTTTCATAAAAGTGAGTATGGTATTTTAAATAATATAATTTTTGGTTGTATCCCTGATGAAATAATTGATATTAAATTATAAAAGTATAACTAATAGTAACAATAAGGGAAACATACAGCATTTATCAATTTTAAAATTATTATGATAATACCGCCTGTCCAATAATATGGTGACAACTATTTCATAAATGTTGATAATTTAAAAAAATACAGTCTACCATAAAGTATAAAATCAACCTGTAATATACATTTATTTGACCTGGTTTAAGATATAATAGCTTTCCTCCAATTTGATTAACCATTTTAGTGAACATTTAAAATTCAGAAGGCTTTTACAAGAGACTGATTTGAATGACTCAGCTCTCTTTAAAAATTGTGTAAAGTAGTTTAAATTAATGCATCTTTTATTTTTCTTTCATAAAAAGAGTCTTGGCAACAGATGAAATCATTAAAAAGTATCACTTTTACTAATAGCTTTTAAAGTTTTCAAGGCCTATTTTTTTTGAATAGTGATAATATTTATTCTTAAACTGAAAATAATTTTGAAAAGTAAAAGCTGACACAGTGGGTCTCGCCTGACTCTCCGGTGCAGGTTGAATTGTGTCCTGCAAACATATATATTGGGGGACAGTCCTCATCCCCAAGGCCCGTGAATGTGAGCTTATTTGGAAAGAGCGTTAATAACAAGCTACAGTTGTCCCCCATTATCTGCAGGGGACACACTCTGAGACCCCTAGTGGATGTCTGAATCTGAGGATAGTACCAAACCCTATAGATGCTATTTTTCTCCTATACATATATACCTATGATAAAGTTCAATTCATAACTTGGCACCATAGGAGATTAACAACAATAACTCATGATAAAATAGAACATTTATAGCAATATGCTGTTCACAATTTCACCTGCTAGGAGAGATACTTTCTTCCCGTAGGTCTTAGCAATCTCAGCATGCAATTTTTTTTCTTATTAAGTCGCAAACTTTCACCTTTTCACTTAAAGGAAGCACTTTATAGCTTCTCTTTGGCACATCCAAATTGCCAACATCACTACTCTTACGTTTTGAGGCCATTTTTAAGTAAAATAAGGGTGACTTGAGCACAAACATTGCAATACTGCAACAGTATTAACAATTAATAATATTGTTAACTGAGAGGGCTGCTAAGTGACTAACAGGCAGGCAGTGTAGACAGTGTGGCTGTGTTGGACAAAGGCAGGATTCAAGTCCTGGGCTGAACCGAGCAGGAGGACACAGATTTCATCATGCTACTCAGAAGAGCACATGATTGAAAACTTATGAATTGTTTATTTCTGGAGTTTCCCATTGAATATTTTTCCACTACAATTGACCAAGGGTAACTGAAAAGCTAAGCCTTAGAAAAAGGGAAACTATTGTGCTCAAGTGAGGATGGCGTCATACTGGAGTAGGGTGGTCCTAATCCAATACGACTGTTACCTCAGTCGTTACCTCAGTGTCTGTTAAGAAGAGGATGACAGGCACGAGGAGAAGGCCACATGTCAAGAGCAGCAAAGATTGGATCAATGCAACTACAAGCTACAGAACACAAAGGGCTGGCAGCAACCATCAGAAGGCAGGGATAGGCAAGCAAGGATCTTCCACCCCTTCCCCAAAGAAGTCCAGAGCACATGGCTCTACAGACATCTTAATTCCAGACTTCTAGCCTCCAGAACAAGAAACAGCAAATTTCTGTTGTTTTAAACCACGGAGTCTGTGTTGGTTTGTTATAGCAGCTCTTGAATGCTAACATACTCTAACATTTAACAAGACACCTCATATTTGCACTTAGAGAATGTGGAGCTCTAGGTAGCATCTTTAAAATAGCCTACTCCAAATTTCCTGGTTTTGGCAGGACTATTTTTGGCATTCGGGTGTGTGCTCCTTCGTCTTGCTTGTGCATATCCAGTTTTGGGGTGAGAAACACGCGGCCGACAGGAGGCCGCACACTGGGGTTCTGTGATCAGGTGAGGAGGTTCCCACTCTGACACAGCTGCCAGCTCTTTGGAGTATGCGTTACCTATCTCTGCACTCACGACGCTTTCCCCGCGGCAGGGAATGTTTGAAGAAACTTGTCATGTTCCCCTTGAGTCTTTTCTTTTTCAGTGTAAACATTTTTATTTTTGTCAACACTTAACTTCAAAAACATGGCACTTGAACTTTCCCTCTCCTGATAAACATTCTCCGAGCATCTTCCTTTGCTCTTCTGAAATACAGGAAACCAGGAACTGAGCTCCCAGTCTGACCCCTGCAGGGCACTGTGGCTCCAGCACGTGTGTTCCAGGCATCACACTTCTAGTCATGCGTCTCAAATAGCACTGTTTTGTTGTTGTTGTTTTAAACTTTTAAGCAGTTTTTTTAAAAAAAAAAAAACCATAAAGAACAATCATCAAATCATTTGGCCAAATTTTTGAAAGAACACAGCAGGAAGCTATCAAACACACGTAGGCGATAGCAAGTGGGTTAAGGACGTTAATTAGGAGAACAGAACGGGTAGCAAAGCCATATGGAACGTGGAGCAACGTGGAGAACACCTTTCATGGACGCCCGGATTGCTGTTTTTATAAGAGAAGAATAAATTATACCAAGTGCTGAAATGACATTGAATTTATGCTTTTAGCTCCTTCACGATTCAGAGGGCTCTTCGGGACCTTGCACTCCTTCGGGCCCGTCGTCATGAATATGCATGAACATGCATGGCGGTCGCGCAGTGCGCTGCCTGAACCAGCGGCTCAGAGCGAGCTGTGGGTCGGTGCAGAAGGTGCGTGGGACCGCGTGCTAATGGGGATTGCTCATTAACAGAAGGCTCGGTAAGAGTGTGCCACAGAGTTTTCTAGTTCTTTTTAATATGTGTATATAATTATTTTCCGAGTTAATATTTCTAAAGAAGAGGACACGTTAAACTCTATCAAAACAAAACAAAACAAAAAAAAAAACGAAAGAAAAAAAGGAAGGAAGGAAGGAAGGCAGGAAGGGAGGAAGGAGAGGAAGAAAGAAACCAAACCAGGAATGGATAAAACCTTCAGAAGCCAGTGACTGTGTATCTGCCGCCCCAGATAACGGAGACATTGAACTGAGAAAAATGCCGTGCTAGCGAAATTCCAAGAGAGCTTTCCCCTAGGTGCTAACTGCGCATGAACGACAGTGGCCTGCTGTCCTCGGCACTCTCAGACTTCAGTGTCCGCGTGAATCACCTGGGACACTTCTTAAAATGCAGAGTCTCTATCAGCCTGTCTGGGTGGTGTTATCCTGAGATAACAAACTCCCAAGTTACAACTTAGTCCTTGTCCCCGGGCCACACATTTGAGTGGCAAAATGCTGGGACCTGCAGCTTTTAACGTTTTAGCTTCCCACCCCTGGGGAACTTCCACCCACTTAGGGACGATTCATGCCTACAACTCACCAGTCACTGAGAGCTCAGAGGGAAAACCGTGCTCATCATTAAAGGGATAATTCTGGGCCTTGCACTGGGACGAGCATCTCACTGGGGTGTTACCAAACTAAGACCTGAAAACCAGAGTTTGTGACTCAAGAGTCTCCTATGAGGTCTTTCTAAAGGGGGCCGGGAGTGGGAGCTTCAGAATTCTAAGCCATGGATTTAAAAACAAAAACCTTTCCTATTGTATAAAGTAACCCTCCAACATCTAAAACTATCTTCTTATATTCCTTTCATACATATTATGTATCAAATCCCATTCAGTAGAAATTTTATTTTGACATACACTTGCTGCAAAGCACAACTTTTTTGTTTCTAGATTATGATCAAAACTAACTTTTATTTCTGGCAGGGAAGATAGGGTAACTTTAAAAAGCCAAATAAAATTGAGTTCTTTCAAAAATCATTTATAGTTAGCAAATATTTGGGTGCTGACAGCTGTTGCAAAAGATATTTTAAACAGTTGATTCCTCCAGGTAGATTAGATATTCCACCTACAATTGTATTTACATTATTAATTTGCATGGATGATCTGTGTTGATTGGAAAGAGGTAAAATCCTAGGTGAATTGTAAATTAGTTGAATTTTAAATAAGGAGTTTCATAAAATATACATTAAATATTTAAATCAAAGAAGAAACAGATTTTGTTTGGGTTTAGTTTGATGACTATTCTGATGTTTGGATTTGTGTTAATTCAATCATCTTAAAATATGGATTCCGTTTTACTTAAAATGTATTTCAATATGTGTTATGTGAAGAAGTTTTATACTAAGGTTATAATTTATTTGACTGAGTTCATTTCTATGCTCAGCTGGGATGATTCATTTCAGTATTTTTGGTTTAGGTTTGGCTGCGCATTATACAGTTCACACAATAATCATCTTGAGAAGGTGCACTTTGCATTTGAGAATATTTTTCAATTCATAATAATTAAAAATTTAGAACTTATAACCTGATATCTCAGGTACACACACCCGTCTGTGCCCCTGAGGGTTGATCCTTGTTTTAACATAGTGAAAACTTTCCAGAATTATCCCAAGAAGTTTCTAAATACAGCCATGAGGAAGAATAGATTTTGTCTTCCCTGCATTGGCTTCTGTCTGGCTTCTCTCCACCGTGTGCCTATCTAAAACGTGCAGGAAAGTGAAGATTCGCTTCATTTGGTCCCATGCCTTCAGCCACTGCTGTTCTGCCCTCCGCTGGCACCACAGGAACTCTCCATTTGCTAATTGCACACTTACCTCCAGTTAAATGTTTTTTCCTCTCACAGAACTGTAGCTCAAAATACTTTATGAAGCAACTGGACGAATCATTAAGTGTTGTCTTGGCATGTCCGAAGGCTTCTAAGATGCACATGACCTGTCGTAGAAAGAGAAAATCGTATTGAACTACTCATTTTTTAAAAAACAAAATTGAGGAGTAATAACAAAGATGTAGGGAATATTTCTTGACCTAAAAGGTTCTATCCTCTTCATGTAATAGCATACTGAATATTTAAGTTTACTCTTTCCTCAAAGGCAAACTACTAGCATCCTACGCACCAAATGCTGGCCACCGTTAATAAAATAATAACACACAGATGACTTTGCTATATACATTCTCACTGCAAAGGGAGGAAAGCCATTGTCCTCATACCCCACCCCTGCCCCTCAGGCTTAAAAAATGTTATTTGAGATTTCAAACTTGAATAGAACAGTCAAAAAGCTTTTGCTGCTTTGGACGGAAGGAATTAGAATTAACATAAGCAATAGTCAGGATTTCTTTTAAAATAACAAATTCACTTAAATATTGGTATGTAACATTCTTTTGAATCTTTATTTGCTTTCCACATATGAGGGCTGTCCAGAAAGTATCCAGTCATTGTTAATATATTTTTCATTTTACATGGCTGGATACTTTCCGGACAGCCCTCTTATATTCTTCAACCAGGAGCCCCGACTTAATCCTCCCTCTACTGTATTATTGTCCCATAAAAACCATTTTCTCTCAATAAACAGGAATAAAACTCTAGTTGAAGCTGCTGTGCCTGCTGGTTTTTGGTGCCATGGACTTTGTTGCAGACATGGCAAGTTTGTGGCTTTGAAATGCCAGAATAAAGCTCTTCAGATCGACCCCGGGATCTGAAGTTCTTCCTTTACTTGTGTCCTTAAACATTGATGATAGAGTAAGAGCCATTTATGCCACATCGATTGATTGTGCCTTGTGACAATGATGGTGACCAAATAATTCTCCAAAAAGTATGAACATCTGTCTTCCTTTGACAAATGTCTATTCAGATACTTTGCCCATTTTTTTTATCAGATTATTTCATTTTTTCCTATTGAGTTGTTGGAATTCCGTATATATTCTAGTAATTAATCCCTTGTCAGATGGGTAGTTTGCAAATATTTTCTCACATTCTGTGGGTTTTCTCTTCCCTTTATGGATTGTTTCCTTTGCTGTGTAGAAGCTTTTCAGCTTGATGTGATCCCATTTAATTTTGCTTTGGTTGCCTGTGCTTTGGGGATATTACTCAAAAAGTCCTTGCCCAGACCAATGTCCTGAAACATTTTCCCAGTGTTTTCTTGTAGGAGTTTCATAGTTTCAGGTCTTAGATTTAAGTCTTTAATCTACTTTGATTTGATTTTTGTACTTGGTGAGAGATAAGAATCTAATTTCATTCTTCTGCATATGGGTATCTAGTTTTCCCAGAACACATACATCAATAGTGATCAGATATATGCAAATCAAAACTATTATGCAATGAGATATCATCTCACTCCAGTTATAACGGCTTTTATCAAAAAGACTGGCAATAACAAATGCTAGTGAGGATGTGGAGAAAGGGGAACCCTCATACACTGTTGGTGGGAATGTAAATTAGTGCAACCTCTATGGAAAACAGTATGGAGGTTCCTCAAAAAACTAAAACTAGAACTAACATCTGACCCAGCAATCCCGTAGCAGGGTATATATCCAAAGGATGGGAATTCAGTATATCAAAAAGATATGTGCACTCCCTTCTTGACTGTTGTCTATTCACAATAGCCAACATATGGAATCAACCTAAGTGTCCATCAACAGAAGAATGAATAAAGAAATTGTGGTAAACACAATAGATTATTATATAGCCACAAATAATGGAATCCTGTCATTTGGAGCAACATGGATGGAACTGGAGAATATTATGGTACGTGAAATAAGAAGCCAAGTACAGAAAGACAAATCATGCATGTTCTCACTCATATATGGGAGCTAAATATTAAAAACAGTTGATTTCATGGAGACAGAGAGTAGAATGACGGTCATTACAGGATGGGAAATGTAGTGGGAAGGGGGGGATAAAGTGGGGATGGTTAATGGGTGCAAAAATACAGTTAGATAGATAGAGTGAATGATATTCGATAGCACAACAAAGTGACTATAATCAACAATAAGTTAGGGTATACCTTAAAATAACTAAAAGGCTAGAATTGGAATATTCCTAACACAAAGAACTGTAAAATGCTTGAGTTGATGGATACTCCA